CCCTTGCTGGGCCTGTCATGGGAATGGGGAGGGGGTGCTCCTTGAAGAGCCCCAACACTATATACAAATGAGTTATCCACATGGTCATAGATGGAATGAAAGAAGAGAATACTCATTTTATACCTTTAACCACAAATTGTGCTTTTTCCTGGTAAACACTATTACCCTACTGGTAGGGCATCAGGAATGAACTATTTTAACTCATAGACACAAAATGCCTTGCAATGTAATCATGCTTTTCATAGATTATTACAGGATTTGTAAAATTATTACAGGTTTAATGTAAATATTTTAAATGTACTACCCAATATTTCTAGTCCTATTTTCTTCTTTTAAAAAAATACTAGAAGACTCAAAAATTGCAAGTGGCCAAGTCCTTCTCAACTTCTGATAGGCCCTGTTAGATCTCTTGAGGATAACATTGATGATTAAAAGAATATAGCCATGAAGCCTGCAAAATGTGAGACTATGTCTATTTTTAAAGAATCTGATATCTGGGGCAGGAGGCAGAAGTGCAGTAGAATCAGATGGTCTGGTTTACATCTTTACTCAATCACTTACTAGCTGTGTAACAGTGGAAACATTATTTAGTTGCTCTTAGCTTCAACTTCCTTCTCTTTAAAATGGGGATATGTTTCTACGTCATAGGGTGTTATGTGGGCTAAATGAAATAACCCATGTAGAAAACATCACACAGTAAGTTGGGGGCCAGTGAGTGCTATGATTTGCTTGATTATATGCAAATAGGCAAGTGTCCCTGCAAAATGAAAATGCAATGTTAGAAAGCTGAGTGGGTTTGCATCTGTTTAGCTGGAGTAGTTTATTTACCTCCTTACCACCTGATGGAGATTTGAAGGGAGCAGCTTTCTGGAATGACTTAGGGTTTGGTGCTTCATTCCCACCAGGAGGCGAATCTGGCTGCAAAGCACTTCACTGTGTGCCTTCCAGGAGGAAATCACTTCTTTCCAGGCCCCAGTGTCTGTATCTGAAAAGAAGAGAGTTGGATTGGATCCACAGGACATTAGTCATTAAGAGAGTAGACTTGGCACTGGACGGCCTTGGTCCGCATCCTGGCTCTGCCACTCACCAGCTATGTGACCTTGAGCAAGTTACATAATCTCTCTGTATCTCAGTTTCCCCTTCTGTAAAATGGGCTTAGTGATCGATTCTGCCTTTTGGATTTGTTGTGAGGGATTAAATGAGTTAATACAGTTAAAGATTCAAAGGAATATCTGGCATGTAGCAAAAACTCTATCAGGTTTAAATACTATTGTTGCTATTGCTATAATTTTATTGTTGTTATTAGATGTCCTCAATGGTCCTGTCCAGCTCTGATATTCTGTGAGAGTCTACGCTGCCTCAATAGACTGAAGCCTGTTGTGGCTCAACCATTCCTGGAAAGTGGAGTGGGAACTTCTCCCCAGCCTCTCCTTGTTGAGGGTCCAAAGGACCCCCTCCTATAGCCCTTGGGCTAGCTGAGCCGGCTGGACTAGCCCCTTCTGGATTAGGGATTGGCTCCTGACCCATTTCTCTGTCACTGAAAGCCAGCTTTGAAAGCATGAAATTGCCCTTGGGGTCTCCAAGGTCTTCTTTCCCATGAGGCTACATGAGATTCATTATACTGCAGGTGGGGTGAGAAAGACATGAACTAAGGCTGACACATGGGCTGGACTGGAGATAGGGAGGAATACTGGCCAGGTAGGCAGCTGGGGGACAGAGTAGATGGTTCAAGGGAGCAGGTGGACTGGAGGGCAGCCGTGACAGTGGACAAGGAGGATGGTGGGAAGCACAGGAGGGGTGTCGTTTGTCCACTGGTCCTCCCAGCTCCATCTTCCTGGGTAGGGACTGTGGTGAAATAGAATCTTATGCCCTAGCTCCAGGCCTAGAGAAGGCCCGTAGGCTCTGAAGCCATCTCCACAGGGCAGCTCGTAGTCGTCTACCTTTCACAAAGACCCGCTCTGTGGGTGTTGTGTGGTGTATGTGTATGTGTGTGTGTGAGCATGTTTGCATGTCTTTGGTTAGAACCCTCCTCTGCTAACTCATCTCCATGGACCCCATCGGGTGTGAGAGAGGACCCCCTCCTCTGGAGAGCACCCTTAGTGACTCACCCAGCTGGGACAGAACCGGTTTTACACCAAGCCCAGAGGCAATGGACGCCTGTGAATGAATTAAACTCTCTCCTGGGTCACATGGACTGCTCTTCAAGTCTACAGGGCCTTGCCCATTCAGTCAGATGACTGTGGAAGGTTCAAGTTGGCCAGGATCTCAGAGACTATCTTATCCGACCCATGCCATCAGGAGTAAAAGGGTCCCAAGAGAGGCCTTTATGGGACTCGAGCCTCTTGGTACCTGCCATATAATGCATTTCATTCTTGTGGGGGCAGGAGAGCATTAATGAATTGTGACCCTATCCCTACCCAAAGTCCCTGAGCCCTTTCCACAAGGCATTGAGGAACAATGAATAATGCACACATATTCACTGTCCAGAGTTCTTTTGATGTGGATATTCCCTTAATCGATGAAGGTAAGGTCTTTGTCTCTCTCTTTTTTTTTTTTTTGAAACAGAGTCCCGCTCTGTTGCCAGGCTGGCGTGCAGTGACACAATCTTGGCTCACTGCAATCTCCGCCTCCTGGGTTCAAGTGATTCTCCTGCCTCAGCCTCCCAAGTAGCTAAGACTACAGGCGTGTGCCACCACAGCCAGTTGCTTTTTGTATTTTTAGTAGAGACGGGGTTTCACCATGTTGGCCAGGATGGTCTCAATCTCCTGACCTTGTGATCCACCTGCTTCATCCTCCCAAAGTGGTGGGATTACAGGCCTCAGTCATTGCGCCCGGCCAGGTCTTGTCTCTTTATCTCCCAAAGGAAAGGAAATGTCTATCAGGAGGTGTAATAAGATTATACCCTGGGAAGTGGTGGTGGTGGTGGTGAATGGCTAGAGATCCAGACATAGCTAAATATTATTGGACATTACATTTGATGGAGGATAAAGCGGGGAGAGTGGTAAAAACTGCGTAACTCATCTCAGTTCCTTGGAGTCATGAAATTTCCATTTTGTTGCAGTGATACGGATCCAAGTATGACACAGCACAGAGAGGAGTGGGTCCCCTAATGTGGGCTGCTGTTAAAACATGGAAAATGGGGTGGATGTAGTGGCTTACACTTGCCATTCCAGCACTTTGGGAGGCCAATGCGGGAGGATCATTTGAGCCCAGGAGTTTGAGACCAGCCTGGGCAACATGGCAAGATCTTATGTCTATTTAGAAAACAACAATAACAACAACAACAACAACATGGAAAATGGAGGCCAGGTAGCAGGGCACACCTTGACTCGTGGATCTGCAAGCCGTCCCCAGACTTCAGGGAAGCGCACATGGTCTATCTATGGGGGCAATAGAGACACCTGAAATGCTGACGGGTTCTGCATTGGGCCATGTTCACAGCCTCCTCCTTCCCACTCCTGGGATGATACAGCATTGCAGCTCAGGAGGCCCCTGGAGCTCAGGGCTCCACCATGAGAAAGAACACCCTGGGGTATTCTCCTGGGACCGCACTCCTGGGACATAGACTCCTGCTTCTCACTTCCTCCTTCCTCCAATCCCTTGCATCTCTGCAGCCAGAATGAGTTCTTTTAAAAGGCAGATTGGATTCTGTCACCTCTCCACCTTAAACAAACCTTAGTAACCCTTACAATAGAGATCAAAACTCTTCAATGGCCCCCAAAGCCTACCTGCCCAAACTCAACTCTCACTGCCACTCTTTCCCTTGCTGTCCAAGGTCCAGCCCTCCCCTCACACTCTCCATTGTCTCCTTCAGAGCCCCCACGTCTGCCTGCCCCATTAGACTGCAAACTTCATGATGGGGGGGCCCTGTCATTCGCTTACGTTTGTATTCCCAGGGCTTAACACAGTGCCAGAGCCAGGGCTCAACCCAGGGTAGGTGTTCAACACACATTTGTTGAACAAATGAAAGACCAGCCCTGACACTCAGAAACACACAGGGAGGACACACAAATGCATGTGTGTGTGCATGCACGGACACATATACACACACTTGCGCAGAAGACGTCAAACACGTCCCCTCTAGGAGCACATCCAGAGGTAGTGCCTGTAGAAATTGGCAAGATGCTAATGAATACGTGTAAATATTCAGTGTCCTGCCTTGGAGGACATTCACCCCATTTCCCTTCTACTTCACCTGAATCCTGGATCAGCCTTGCTTATGGGTGGCAACAAAGCGGTTCTCTGTCCTTAAGGAGACAGAATGTGGCTTTTTAAAAGCACACCAAGTGGCCTTATCTCCTGGGCCTCACCTACCCTCCACTCTCCCTAAGAAAATCTGTTACCAGCCTTGTATTTCCAATTTCCACTTGCCATCCATCTGCCAACCATCTGCCCTGCCAACTTCAGCCCCCAACCCTGCTGGTCAGGTCACCCCTTCTATTCCTTGAAAAGCTCCTGAGCAAGCTCACCTTCTCCAGCAGGCCTCCTGACTACACAATTCCCAGGGCCTCCTCCTTCCTGGTCACTCGGTGGACTCTGTGACTATGACTCCATTAGTGACTGCCTTCCCTCCCACTCTCAAAGTTTGCTGCCTCTTTGGTACCACTTTGAGATGTGATTCCCAAGAGGGCAGCGGCTTTATGTATCTGTGTGACTTATGGTGTCAAAGGTCCCAAGGGACCAGCTTAGCTGAAAAGTTAAGGGTTTGGATGATGAAAATGTCCTTGCTAAAAAGGCATCATGGGGCAAATTTATACTAAGCCAGTCTGGTTAAGAGCTTAAAGCTCTGCAAAGCGAGGAGTTGGATGGACTGATGTCACAGGACCCTTCCATCTCTGACCTCCTCTGAGCTAGAGTGTTAGCCCTGGGGGGCCTTACCCTGCCAAGCCTGGACTGGAGGAGGAGGAGGAGGCGGGGTGAGTGGGAGGGGCGGAGAGAGCAGAGGCGCCTGCAGCAACTGACACCTGCTCCAGCCCTGACTGTCTACTACCAGTCGATCCAGAGCCTCCAGCAAGCAGCAGCTGGAAACGGGGAAGAGGGAGCAGACAGGAAGCGGGAGGCCAGCTGTACACCCAGGTAAGTGGGCACTCATACCTGGCTGCGCACCCAGGCCAGGATAGGGCCGGATGGAGACACTAACCTGCTGTCCAGTTTTTCTATGTAGGAAGGGGCAGGCAGTGGGTAGGACATCTGCCTGGTGAACATTCCCTGGCTGGCCGTTCACACGCTGGAGTGCACCTGTATCCCCTCTAGGCGACTCCAGGATATCTGGAAGAGAGAATTTCAGTGTGTCCTGTCTGGGTGGTTCTGTCCCGGCTCTAATTTTCTGGACACGGTTTGACTTTGAGTGTGATACGATGACCAGATTAAAAATATCACTAGCAGTCCAGAATAAGGACCTTAGGCTGGGACTTGTTATATTTTGGTTAGTAACATGGTCAAAGCAGTTGAGAGAACCCTACTTGGCTCTTCCTGCCTCCATTTCTACCAGTTGAGAGGTAGCAGGGACCAGCTGGAGGTAGCAGGGACCTGGATCTGCAGGATGGATGCGGGGAGGGTAGGGAAAAAAGGTAGAGAAAAAGGGTAGGGAGCCATAGATCCTGGAGAGGGGCCAGGGAGACACTGCCCCCGGATCCAGTGCTGAGAGTGTTGCTGGGACAGCTGAAGTAAGGACACAAGCTGACATTTGCTTTTGGGAATAATTGGACTTCTTAAATGTGGGAATGAATTATGGAGGAGAGAATTCACTTCCTTTCTCATTTCTTCCAACTGAGACCACATCCCTCTAGTCTCCAACTCAACAGATCTCTTCCCCCATGTCATTGACTTTGTACCAAATCTGGCTTATTTTAGAAGATGGTGGAGCACCAGAAGTGGATGGCTTAATGTCACACCCCTAAGATCCCCCAAGGGCTTTGTTTCTTTTGCCCTCCTCAGCTGGGAGCTGTAGGCAGGAGGCTGGAGGGAGAAGAGTGGTATCATCGTTATCCTTCTTCATGTGTTACCAATAGCTGAGTAACAGGATGATAGCTGCTCATGGTGATGATGTGTGTGACGATGGGGATGATGACTCAGATAGCTGTGTTGAACTCAGACTACTCCAGTGTGGGGTCTCCGACTGCTGCCAGCGCACTTGCCAGGAGGCTGCACTGAGGGGTGGGTGGGACGGGGGCCCATACAGCCCTCCCCCTGGCCATGGCCAGCTGGGTCCTCATCCGTTGGTGACTGTCTTCCCTCCTACCCTTCCTCGTGACTCCCTTCGGCATAGCGCCTGTGGCACCTGTGACCGCTCCAGAACGCAGTTGGCGTACCATGGCATTCCAGCACGCTAGGGTGCAGCGGCTGGGCTGGTGAGGGGCCGCCAGGGGCCAGAAGTGCCAGTGGGTGGGCCATTGTGAAATGGAACGATCTCCATGGGAGAGAGGAATTCGCTCTGTCATGTGTGATTCTATATTAATGACAGGGCTTTTTGGGCAGAAAATGGAGTCCCCAAAATGGAACCGCTTGGCCGTGGGCCAATCGCACAGAGGGTGGGACTGCTGGAGAACTCTTTCAAGACATCTCCCCACCCCAATTTATGGCTCTCATCCCATCCCAGAGCCAACCCCCTTCCTCTCCTGTGTGGGACTCCCCATTGACCATAACAGATGGATGCAATTTAGAGGAAATCGGGAGAGATGGTGGTGGTGACAGAATGGAAAATACTCCTGTTCACCTGACACTATAATTCACTGGCTTCAGAGGGGAGCAGATGGATTTATGGGGATCCTATGGGCCTGGGCCAAGAAGAACTTAAGAGCAGCAAAGTTGAGGACTCTCCCCTGCAGACCTTGTGACCGGAAGGATTCTATGAATGTGGGAGGTAGAGGACTTTGGGGTCCTGCCAGAAAATTTCAGAGTTGGGGAAGGAGCCAGGAGTCCCAAAGAATGTCCTTGGAGAATTCTCATTCCAAAGTCAATGAGGCAAGCTGTTACACAGCTGGAAGGATCCTGAATGGATCTGATTTCCTCAGGTTTGGGAAGGTTGTGTCTCACCCTCTGGGCAGGGTCATCAGGCCTGGGGTCCCACCAGGAGGCCAGGCCACCAGCACAGTGTGCAGGCTCAGCCTATGGTTCCCTTTACCTGGGAATGTTACCAACTGGGTAGCATCCTACCCACTCCCTGGTCTCTGGGAAATTGGTTTTGCAGGGGACAGGGAATTGCAGGAAACCAATCAGTGCCATTAGTGGGTTAGAAAAGCTCTTGGGGGCAGCAGCTTTTTCCAGCTCCCACCCCAGACATTGGCTTATGCACTGATGGTGTTGGAGGGGTGGGGTGAGACCAGGCTGGATCTCTCAAAAGCAATTCCATTTCTGTTCTCAGGAAAATAGAACTTCTACCCTGAGAGGAGTCAAAGAGGAGGCAGAACTATGGCAGGTAAGAGAACAAACCTCCCCTCCTCAACCCTCCCTGGCAATCCTTACCAGGACAGAGAGGAGAGAAGTGGTAGGGATCAGAGATTTCTGGGAATGTGCTCATCTTGTTTGTTGTTGTTGTTGTTGCTGCTGATTTTGAGACAGAGCCTCACTCTGTTGTCCAAGTTGGAGTGCAGTGGCACAATCTTGGCTCACTGGAAGCTCCGCCTCCTGGGTTCAAGTGATTCTCCTGCCTCAGTCTCCCGAGTAGCTGGGATTATAAGCATGTGCCACCATGCCTGGCTAATTTTTGTATTTTTAGTAGAGATGGGGTTTCACCATGTTGGCCAGGCTGGTCTCAAACACCTGATCTCAGGCAATCTGCCCGCCTTGGCCTCCCAAAGTGCTGGGATTACAGGCATGAACCATTGTGCTGGGCCTTTTTTTTTTTTTTTTACTTTAAACATTTTTTGCAAAGCAGGTCTGCCGGCAAAAATTTCCTCAATTTTTTTTTTTTTTTTTAAGAGTCTTGGCTTTGGATTTCAATTTGTTTTCCTGAATAAGGGGTGCAGAGCCCCCACATGAGCTCCTGCTTCCTGAAAAGGAGCCCTTTCCCACTCTCTCTTCCAAGCTTTTCTCCAGTGACACACTCAGGGTCTTCCCAGGGTGCCCCACCCACTTCCTAGAGGCTCCATTCACATTGCCTGAGGTGTGCCACCAGATTCCCATTAGAGAATTAAAAAGCACTGTGCACAGGCGGGAGGTAGGACAAAAATCCTGCCCCAACAGTAGGAGCTAGAAGGGGCTTTTTGCTCCTTGGGCGAGTGGATGGATGCCCATTCTGTTGAAGGGTCACCCAATAGGGAGCAAGCGGAAGGCCCACCTCCCTCTCTCCTGCATTCTCCAGGAAAGTTCCGGAAGTCCCATATCCCTGGGGTGAGCATCTGGCAGCTGGTGGAGGAGATCCCTGAAGGCTGCAGCACGCCGGACTTTGAGCAGAAGCCCGTCACCTTGGCTCTGCCAGAGGGTGAGAGCCCAGAGGGGAGCTGTGGAGGGGAAGCAAGATTCCTGCTGTCCTACCTCCCAGGGGAGAGGGCTAGGGCACACACCTTCCTGGACACCCAGGCCCTACATCCATCACCAGACCATAGCCTGGCTCCCTCCTATCCTTAAGGGGGTACGTGCTTACCTGGAACCCTAGAAGTGACAAGGGGCCTGGGGAAAAGAGTGGATAAAGAGAATGAAGAGACAACATGCTATTCCAGTGTAAGAAATATCTGGGGGGCAAGGATGGAAAAATGCTAAATCAGGGAGCAGGGAAAGGTTGTGGTGTTTTCTGGTCCCTCTCTCCTCTCCTCAAAGCCACTGCTGCAGATAGGCACTGTTAATACAGTTAAGGTGATTCCTCCCAATCCTCGCTTCCAGGCAGCAGCACCCGCAGTGGCTCACAGGCTGGGCTCAGGAAGGCCCTTCTAGAAGGCCACATAAGAAAGTGCCCAGAAAAGTGGTGGGAACAAAGGCTTATTGGGGAAAAAGTGGGAATTGGTGTTCTTTCCCCAACACACATCCCTGCAATAAATTTTAGTTCATAGCATCCTCGTCATAAGAAAAAGAATGGTATTTTATTTTTCTTTTTTCTATTATTATTATTATTATTATTATTTGAGACGGAGTTTTGCTCTTGTTGCCCAGGCTGGAGTGCAATAGCTCGATCTCAGCTCACTGCAACCTCCGCCTCCTGGGTTTAAGTGATTCTCCTGCCTTGGCCTCCCAAGTAGCTGGGATTATAGGCATGGGCCACCATGTCTGGCTAATTTTTTGGTATTTTTAGTAGAGACAGGGTTTCTCCATGTTGGTCAGGCTGGTCGCGAACTCCCGACCTCAGCTGATCCACCTGCCTTGGCCTCCCAAAGTGCTGGGATTACAAGCGTGAGCCACCGCACCTGGCCAAAGAATGGTATCTTATTTTTCTAAATCTGGAACAAGGTAATGAGAAATTGGGACGGGCCCTTGGGCCTTTAGTCTATATTGCTCTCTACTAAGATGTTCCTGGTGGGAGGCTGAGGGATTCTTTGAGGGCAGGCAGTTCCCAGGTCTCCATGCCAGGCATGGAGCTTGGAGTCTTTTCTGAGGTTGGAACCTATGTCTCAGCACCAGCTCCTTTGGGCACCAAATAGCCATTCTTTCCCGTGGTTGTGATTCCTCTTCCCTCTAGAGAGTAGGAATGGGAAGGGAACCCACAAAAATCTCTCTTTTTTTGAGATGGTATCTCACTCTGTCACCTAGGTTGGAGTGCAGTGGTGTGATCTCTGCTCACTACAACCTCTGCTTCCAGGGTTCAAGCAATTTTCCTGCCTCAGCCTCCCAAGTAGATGGGATTACAGGCACGCACCACCACACCTGGCTAATTTTTGTGTTTTTAGTAGAGATGGGGTTTCACCATGTTGGCCAGACTGTTCTCGAACTCCTGACTTCAGGCGATCTGCCCACCTTGGCCTCCCAAAGTGCTGGGATTACAGGCGTAAGCCCCTGTGCCCAGCCGGAACTCACAAAATCTCATTCCCTTCCCAGTCTTGGCAGAGCCTTCAGACTCCTTGCTCTCCCACTCTCAAGAAAAGCCCCTCTCCCCTAAAGCCCTGCTGGCCTCCCCTTTCACCAGGGCCAGTCCACCTATCTCTTTCCCTCAAGCAGCCCAAGCTTCCGCAATACAGAAAGAGGAAGGACTGCCCTCTGGGTGCCTGGAATCTGCTGCTTTCCACCTGCCTGTTCCAAGTCCTGAGTCAAGGGGACCCAGGCCTGGCACCCTTTTTGGAAGGGGCTGTTGAAATACCTAGATGAGGAAGATGATGTAAATTAGAATTTAAATAAAGTATACAGTCACCTTCTCCCAAGTTGTCAGTCTTCCTGCTCGTCTCTTCCTGCTGCAGGGAAAAATGCTATCTTTCGGGCTGTGGTCTGTGGGGAGCCCAGGCCCGAGGTGCATTGGCAGAACTCCAAAGGTGACCTCAGTGACTCCAGCAAGTACAAGATCTCCTCCAGCCCTGGCAGCAAGGAGCATGTGCTGCAGGTAATAACCATAGCTCTTCCCCCGACCAGGGTCTATTCATCTTTTCCTGTCCCCTTGAAGATCTCTTTGGCAGCCTTCAGGCCCTAGAGGAGTAAGACATACTCCCTGTTGAAGTTGAATCCATTCAACTCCATCTCGTGACTCAAAGTTAACTGAGCCAAGAATGGATCTGGCAGGCTCTCAGATACCTCTGCTGATAACCGGGAAGGTGGTGTAGATTGGAGCTTAAGAGCTCAAGCTCTGAAGTCAGACTGCTGGGGTTACAATCCCAGGCCCACCACCTTGGCTTTGGAAAGTCACTTTACTCTTTCTATCTCTGTCTCCTCATTTGTAAAAATGGGGTAGTAACAGGACCTGCTTTAAGGAGTTGTTATGAGTTGTTGTTGTTGTTGAGACAGATCTCGCTCTGTTGCCCAGGCTGGAGTGCAATGGCATGATCTTGGCTCACTGCAACCTCCGCCTCCCGGGTTCAAGCGATTCTCCTGCTTCGGCCTCCCAAGTAGCTGGGATCACAGGCATGCGCCTTCACGCCCAGCTGATTTTTGTATTTTTAGTAGAGAAGGGGTTTCACCATGTTGGCCAGGCTAGCCTTGAACTCCTGACCAACGGTGATCTGTCTGCCTTGGCCTCCCAAAGTGCTGGGATTACAGAATGAGCCACTGTGCCTGGCCAGGAGCTGCTATGAGGATCAAAGTTTTATGTAAAGTGTCTAGCTAGTGCCTGGCCTATAGTGAGTACTCAATCAATCTTGGCTAATCTGAGCAATACTATAAATACTAACCATGGGATACCTACTATGTGCCAGGCCCTACTATGTCCCAGGGGCTAAACATTTGACATAGATTATATATTTAATTCTAATCATTCACCACTTTTTTGAGGAATTATATTCCCATCTTATAAATGAAGAAACTGAAGTTGAGAGAAGTTAGATAACTTGCTCAAGGTCCCACAGCCAGTAATACAGGACAGAGACTGTTTTCAGGCCCAGATCCATCTGACCCCAAAATCACACTCTTTCTACTATGCTACATTGTCTCTGATGGCAAAGAATCAGTACATCCACCCTCTGTCCCGAACCAGGTTTTTGTTTTGAGATCTGTCTTTCCTGATAAAGACTATGAGCTCCATAAGGACTAGGACCATGTCTTAATCACTTTATACCCCCAACACATAGCTGTGTCTAGTAAATGGAGGAAGGGGACATGGTAGCCCTGCTCCTCTGCCCTTGGCCTTTCTGCAGATCAACAAGCTGACAGGTGAGGACACGGATCTGTACCGCTGCACAGCAGTAAATATGTACGGAGAGGCCACGTGCTCAGCGAGACTCACCGTCATTGAAGGTGGGCTTTTCCCTGAGCTTGTCTCATCAGTGCACAGGGCAGAGAGCCCACAGAGGAATCAGAGGCCCCGTGGCTAGTGAGGGAGGGGAGCAGAGGGGAGGGAGGCCCACTGAGGCTGCCGCCGCTGCTGCAGCCCCACCTTGTGCTGGGCCCCCGGCTTCATCCACATGCACACTGAAGTCTGCATGTGTTTAAAAAGGCACACCTTGGCAGATGCTCTGAAGGATATTCTCTTGGCCCAGTAAATGAGCAGGACCTGAAAGCTGGCTTCTAGTCCTAGAGCTTCTGCTAACTCATTGAATGGGCTTTATTTTCCTCTCTGGGTCTCAGTTTCTCCACTGTGCAAAGGATAAGTTTTATGTAAAGTGTCTAGCTAGTGCCTGGCCTATAGTGAGTACTCAATCAATCTTGGCTAATCTGAGCAATACTATAAATACTAACCATGGGATACCTACTATGTGCCAGGCCCTACTATGTCCCAGGGGCTAAACATTTGACATAGATTATATATTTAATTCTAATCATTCACCACTTTTTTGAGGAATTATATTCCCATCTTATAAATGAAGAAACTGAAGTTGAGAGAAGTTAGATAACTTGCTCAAGGTCCCACAGCCAGTAATACAGGACAGAGACTGTTTTCAGGCCCAGATCCATCTGACCCCAAAATCACACTCTTTCTACTATGCTACATTGTCTCTGATGGCAAAGAATCAGTACATCCACCCTCTGTCCCGAACCAGGTTTTTGTTTTGAGATCTGTCTTTCCTGATAAAGACTATGAGCTCCATAAGGACTAGGACCATGTCTTAATCACTTTATACCCCCAACACATAGCTGTGTCTAGTAAATGGAGGAAGGGGACATGGTAGCCCTGCTCCTCTGCCCTTGGCCTTTCTGCAGATCAACAAGCTGACAGGTGAGGACACGGATCTGTACCGCTGCACAGCAGTAAATATGTACGGAGAGGCCACGTGCTCAGCGAGACTCACCGTCATTGAAGGTGGGCTTTTCCCTGAGCTTGTCTCATCAGTGCACAGGGCAGAGAGCCCACAGAGGAATCAGAGGCCCCGTGGCTAGTGAGGGAGGGGAGCAGAGGGGAGGGAGGCCCACTGAGGCTGCCGCCGCTGCTGCAGCCCCACCTTGTGCTGGGCCCCCGGCTTCATCCACATGCACACTGAAGTCTGCATGTGTTTAAAAAGGCACACCTTGGCAGATGCTCTGAAGGATATTCTCTTGGCCCAGTAAATGAGCAGGACCTGAAAGCTGGCTTCTAGTCCTAGAGCTTCTGCTAACTCATTGAATGGGCTTTATTTTCCTCTCTGGGTCTCAGTTTCTCCACTGTGCAAAGGATATTTGTATATTTTGGACAGGCCTATGCCAGAGTTAACAAACAGGTCATGCAAAGGCCAAATTCTCCCTCAGACGTGTATTTGGGTGTGCGTGGTATTTGAAATTTTAAAAATTGTCAACCTGTAGTAATTAAAAGGTAGTAATTAAAATATCTCTTGAGGAAGCAGGTCTAGTCTCGCCATTGATTATGCTTACAATTGATCTGCCTACAAGTAACAGAAAATCCTACTAAGAGTAGCCTAAGAAATAAAGATATTTCATTCCTTCATATAAGAAGTTTTGCAAGTGGTGTCCAGGGCTCATACCACAGCTCACGGCTGCCATCAGATAGCTGATTCCTTTGGTCCCACTGCTCTGCCATCCTTAGCAGATTGGCTTATCACCTCATGGCCATAAGAGGGCCATGGCAGATCCAAACCTAATCCATGTTCAAGGTAGGAAGGTGGAAGAGGTGGCCCAGGTCCATCTGCCTCTCTTATTTTTATTTTTATATTTTTGAGATGGAGTCTCGTTCCATCACACAGGCTGGAGTGCAGTGGCGCAATCTTGGCTCACTGCAACCTCTGCCTCCCAGGTTCAAGCCACTCTCCAGCCTCAGCCCCCTGAGTAGCTGGGATTATAGGTGTGCGCCACCACGCCTGGCTAATTTTTGTATTTTTAATTGAAACAGGGTTTCACCATATTGGCTAGGCTGTTCTCAAACTTTTGACCTCAGGTGACCCGCCCGCCTTAGCCTGCCAAAGTGCTGGGATTATAGGCATGAGCCACTGTGCCTGGCCTTTTATTTTTTATTTTTTGAGACCTGTTGCCCAGGCTGGAGTGCAGTGGTATGATTATGGCTCACTGCAGGCTTGACCTCCCAGGACCAAGTGATCCTCCCACCTCAGCCTCCCAAGTAACTGGGACTACATGCATGCGTCATCACACCCAGCTAATTTTTTGATTTTTTTTTTTTCTGCAGAGGTGGGGTCTCCCTATGTTGCCCAGGCTGGTCTGGAACTCTTGGGCTCAAGCTATCCTCCCACTTTGGCCTCCCAAAGTGCTGGGATTATAGGCATGAAACACCATGACCAGCCCATCCACCTTTTTTATAGAGGAAGCAAAGGCTTTCTCAGAAATTCCTGGAGCTCATTGGTCAGGACGGTGTCACATGAGCACTGCTAGTTGCAAGGGAAGCTGGGAAGGCGAGTGTTTAGCTTTTTCAGCCTCTCTAGTGGAAGCAGATGATGAGGATTACAAATGGCTGCAGGATTAGCCAAACAGCAGTGTCTGACCTATTTGGTAATATTGGGCTTATACCCTGATATGGCAGCTCCCAGGTGGAGTGAAAGAGCAGCTGCCCCTTTAGATACTCTTGAGTTTGTTGTGGTTGCCAATGTCTGCTTCACGCATTTCTGCCACCTCCCTGGCCCCTGTGGACACATGACTGGGCCTCCCCTGCATGAGATGATGCTTAGATTGGTCCCCTTGGTCATGGGTAAGGCTCTGGGGTAAAAAAGCTTATGATGGACAGACCCTCCATCCTGCTCCATCCCTCTTGCTGGGATCATCCACGCCTTAGAGGACAGTGGGGAGAGCAGGGCTCTGGGACTCCATCAGTTTCTCAGGAAGACCGTCAACGTGTCTTACTTCTCTCCCTGCTTGTCCACATCAACTCCTTCCTCTCCTCCCTGGATGATCCAGTTGGCTTTCGGAAGAATCGGAAGAGACACAAGGAACCACAGGAAGGTAGGCAGATTTGTCAGAAATCTCCTTGGGGCCTGTGGGAGATAGACTACTCCTTTCCTGGTGTTCCCTGCCTGGTTGAGCCACCATGCACACCTTGTGGGTCACCACCAGTCTTCAGGAGAGCCCCTTCCAAAGGCTTGGTTGTCAGCATGGGCACACAGAAAAGCCCTGCATCAACCCTCAGGCATCCCACCTGGGACTGAGGCCTCATTCCTGCTCCTTTTCCAGACCTCAGGAAGGAGCTGATGGACTTCCGGAAGTTGCTGAAAAAGAGGTGGGTTTGGGCCTGTCCATGAGGGATTTTGGAGCCTCCCATAGTATTCACTCCCTACTATTTCCATAAGTAAGCTGGGCTTGGGCCGCACCTCCACCCAACACAGCAGGGAGCTAGACTGCCTGTAGCAGATGGGAGGATGGGAAGGGGACTGAACTGGGAATTCTGGATCTAGCTCTGCCATTTCAAAGCTCTATATCCTTGAGTTAATCATCTCTCCTCTGATTTCCTCCTTTGCAAAATGTGGTGGTCCACTGGAACAATGATGTAACTTTTTTTTTTTAAAGCAACAGAACAATGCAACACCCACTTTCCCCAGACATCTTATTTAGAAATCTACAATACAGGTTGTTAGAAGCATTTCTCCTGAAAGTTGTGGGGTGAGGCTGAGGCTCGCCCCACCCATCTCTGAATCCTTCTGGCCCCAAAAGTGGTCAGTCCCAGAGATTCCAGGCTCTGTATTTCCTTGAGTGCAGATAGAGCAGCTTCCTAGAACTACTTGGGGCACCAGAGCCAGGTGGCCAACAAAGGAGCAGGGGTTCCTCTGGCCTCTGACCGGCTGGCCTTGCTCCCCAGGGCCCCACCAGCCCCTGAGAAAAAGATAGACCTTGAGCAGGTATGGCAGCTGCTGATGACGGCAGACAGGAAGGACTACGAACAGATCTGCATGAAGTACGGCATCGTCGACTACCGTGGCATGCTGCGCAAGCTACAGGAGATGAAGAAGGAGCAGGAGGACAAGATGGCACAGGTGCCTCACTCCATGGCCACCCCTCACTCCATGCCCACCCCACACACCTGAACCACAGGTGCCTCACTCCATGCCCACCCCTCACATCTGGACCATAGGTGCCTCACACCTGGAGGTGGGCTTGGAGGCAGAACTTAGGAAACCAAGTATGATCGAGGGGCCTGTCTCCATCTAGTCCCCAATGGGGTATCTGGCTAAGGCCTTGGGATCCCAGGTTGGTGTCCTGCCTTTGCAACCTGGTTCTGATACTTACTAAACTCTGGAGCTTTGGAAGAGTTAGGGCCTCTGTATCTTGGATACTTCATCTGTAAAATGGGAATTATAGTCATGCCTACCTCGCAGGGTTATTGGGAGGATAATGAGAGAATGTACTTAAAGTACTTAGCTTAGTGCCTGATACATGGTAAGGGCTTGATTTTTGCTATCATTATCATTGTCACCAGATTGAGGGGGGGCGGTACCTCGTTGGTTTATTTCTCCTTTTTTTTTTTTTTTTTTTTGAGATGGAGTCTCACTCTGTTGCCCAGGCTGGAGTGCAGTAGCACAATCTTGGCTCACTGCAAGCTCCGCCTCCTGGGTTCACGCCATTCTCCTGCCTCAGCCTTCTGAGTAGCTGGGACTACAGGCGCCTGCCACCACGCCCGGCTAACTTTTTGTATTTTTAGTAGAGATGGGGTTTCACCGTGTTAGCCAGGATGGTCTCAATCTCCTGAACTCGTGATCTGCCCGCCTCGGCCTCCCAAAGTGCTGGGATTACAGGCATGAGCCACCGCGCCCAGCTACCTGGTTTATTTCTAAAGGCTTTCATGGAAGGGAATTTTACAGTTCCCATTAGCACTCTGATCCCAGAATCTTATCAGCTGTACAGGAATTTCTTCCCTGTGTCTAACTTAACTATAACATAAGTCTAATTTTTCTTCTGAAAATAGAAAACAACTCGTTTTCATTATCCTGAAAATAGTATCTTATCCCCTTGAAGGATAAGTTTCCTTACACCTAGGGTCTCAGCCTTCTCTCCTCAAAACTTTCTCATTGGCTTTGACACAGGACCCAGCACAGAGCTTTGCACACAGTAGGTGTTCAACTAATGTTTGTTAGAAGTACAGATGAATTGAAATGCCCTACTGAGTTCTAGTACCTGGGCACCTGGGGTCTTTTCTTGGTTGTCTTCTTGATCTGATCTCTCATCTTGGAGAATTTCCTTCCTTGAGGGACTTACTTTTCCCCACTTGTAAAAGGGGCCAATGCATGCTCATCTGGGACGCTGTGGGCCTGGGATGGTACCAGGACCTATGAGGGTTTGGAGTGCCCCGAAGAGAGAACTTCATGAACTCTCCTGGTGGGTTTGTCTGCTTTGTAGTACATCAACGCCATCTCCAGCTTAAGACACATCAGGGTCACCAAGGATGGGATTGCAAAGTTTGACCTGGAGCTGGATCTCAAGGATTCTCAGAGCAAGATTTACCTGTATAAGGTGAGGCTGGAGGGGCTATGAGTGGGGGGATCTGGCAGGGATGCTGCAGGACTAGTGGGGAGAGAACTGTGGGTACCCTGGATTCCTCCATGGGAACAACCAGAGCACACAAATGGTGAGCCCCTCATCCCATGGAGTTCCTGGTTGGAGTTGGGCCAAACCCTGGTGTAGAACATCCATCCACAAGGACTTCTTATCTCACACTGAGCAACCAGTCTCTCCAGCTGGGCCTGTGACTCTCTGTAAATTGTGTCTAACACCAGAGCACGGGGGTGAAAAGAGGGTTCTGAGAAAGTGCACCCCTTTCCATCTGAGCTTTCTTTCCAGAGACTTCATACATCCCAAATGGGCTCTAGGAGTAGTTACCTGCCAACCAGATGGGGGCAGCGGCAGGTGGGGAGGAGCTGGTAAAATTTGGCTAGTTCTGTAGCCAGACTCATCCAGCTTTATCACTTATAAGCTGTGTGACCTCAGACAAGATACTTATCTTCCCCGTGCCTCAGTTTCCTCATTTGTGAACTGGGGATAATATAGGACCCGCCTCACGGTGTACTGCAGCGCTAAATGACATCATGCATGACTTGCCCCTCCCCTCACCTCTCTGCTCATTCCTGCTTCTCTTCCCCTTGTCCCTCTGTTCCTGCCCCACTGGCCTCATCCCTGTTCCTTTGCCCCAGCTGTTCCCTCTGCTTGGCATGCTCATCCCTGATATCAACAGGGCTCATTCCTTTATGGCAGAGAGCCTTCCCTTGGCCACTCTGTGTGATTCCACTATGTCCCTCCAGCCCCGTCCTAGCACTCAGGAGCCCTGGACCCATATCTACCTTTTTGTTCCCTGGTTCTCTCTTCTCTTTATTTCTCTCTCTCTCTTCCTTCTTTCCTTTTTTCCTTTTCTCTCTCTCTCTTCCTTCTTTCCTTCCTGCTTCCTTTTTTTCCTTTTCTTTCTTTCTTTTTCTTTCTTTCCCTTCCTTTCTTTCTTTCCTTTTCTTTCCTTTCTTTCTTTTCTTTTCTTTCTTTCTTTCTTTCTTTCTTTCTTTCTTTCTTTCTTTCTTTCTTTCTTTCTTTCTTTCTTTCTTTCTTTCTTTCTTTCTTTCTTTCTTTCTTTCCTTACTTCTTCCCTCTCTTTCTCTCTCTTTCTTTCCTTCTACAGGGTCTTACTCTGTTGCCCAGGCTGGAGTGCAGTGGTGCAGTCTCAGCTCACTGAAACCTCTCCCTCCCAGGTTCAATCAATTCTCCTGCCTCGGACTCCCGAGTAGCTGGGATTACAGGTGTTTGCCACCACACCCAGCTAATTTTTCATATTTTCAGTACAGATGGGGTTTCACCATGTTTTCCAGGCTGGTCTTGAACTCCTGACCTCAAGTGATTCATCCGCCTCAGCCTCCCAAAGTGCTGGGATTACATGCATGAGCCATCACGCCTGGCCAGTTCTATTTCTTTCTAACATAAATTATTTACTTATTTATGACATTTATCATTTATATTTTTCCCCCATAGGATTTTAGCTAGTGAGAGCAGGAATCTTTTTTTAGGCATTGATGTGTCCTAAGTACCTAAAACAGTGCCTGGCACATAGTGGGCCCCTAATAAGTATTAGCTGTTGTTAATATTCAGCAAGTAGCAAACCTATCTAGGGCTTAAAGTAGGTATGCATATAGATTACTGGGTTTGTAGAGCCTTATGGATATCTGATGGTATTCTCTGCAAGTTCCTGTTGGTGAATAAGTTGAGCTAGGGCCCGTGGGCCATTGGTGTCATGTCCAGCCTCCCCTGCTATCCTCGCAGGGCTGCTGGGGAGTAACTCTACTCATAGCCTGAGCTGGAATGTCAGCAACTTCAGGTGCCCCTTTGTATAACACTTGCAGACTTTTCACTCCATGGACATTCCTAGAGCATGGATTCCCATCCAGCTCACAATCCCTGTTCCCATGTCCTCCAGGCCCTGCTGTCCACCCCATCCCAGCTCCTCTATGGTTCCAGGAATCTGTTGTCTGGTGATTGGGCCTGTGGGAGAAAACTGCTGGTTATAGCCAGAATGGGACTGGGGCAGGAAGCACTGAGGACCCGCTGAGGCCCGCCTCCTCTTCCTTTTCTGGCCTTAGGATGGTGAGATGATCCCCTATGGCTTCAACAACCAGACCAAGCACTGTCTGCGCCGGCTGGGAAAGCGTTATGAGTTCCAGATCCAAGACTTGAGGCCTGAGGACTCTGGCATTTACCAGGTCAAGGTGGAGGATGCTGTGGTCTTCTCCACAGAACTGGAGGCCAGTGGTGAGTGGTCTACACTGCCGAAGTTGGAGTCGGGGAGATCTGTGAGAAGTGGAGTCCATGTTGGTGCAATGTGTGTATCGGGGGGTAAATGTGATGTGGCCCCAGCTGCAAAGACAATTGGGAGACGGACACATACCTAGATGGCCAAATTTTGATGCTTTCTGTTTTCCAAAGCCTCGGTGCAAGTTATCTCTCCTGGTGCTGAGCTGGGTTCTACTGAATTACCGTCACAGACACAGAACATATGTGTCATGCCTCTGCTCAGACCTTCTGCAGCCACCAATTATTTTCAGATCAGATCTAGATTAATTGCATAGCCTCTAGAACTCCTTTCTGTTGCATGTCCTCATCTCCCACAAAGCCCTAGCAAGAATCTCTGGGTTAGGCATCCTTGCGCTCCATACAGACCTTTCCTTTTCTGCTTCCTGTATTCCTTCCCTATCTAGGAACTGCCACTCCTCCTTCATCAAACTCTGTGCCATCCCCATGAGTACCTGTGTCCACATCACTCTCAGAGCAACCTGCCAGCTCAAGGGGGTTCTTGAAAGGACAAGGAGAGGCCTGGGGAAGGGAGCATGTCCTAAGAACATGGCTAAATCGAGGTTTGGGGAGAGAAAAGGGGTTATGTGTCCCAGCAGTGGGGAGGTGCCCAGATGGGACTTTGAGAAGCCTGAAAACAGTGCAGTTTGGGAAAGGAGTGTGGGTTTGGGAGTCAGCCAGACCCTGGTGTGAATCTTGGTTTCTCTTAACTGCATAAGACTGGAGCAAGTTATTTAACTTTTTAAGCCTCAGTTTTCTCACCTGTAAGAAGAAATTAATAATACTTACTGGGGGGTAAGCACTTATTACTTGGATGAATAAGATAAAGGATGAATAAGATAAAGTACTGGCTCTTAGCATAGTGGTTTTCTTCATGCATCCACCTTGTCCCCAAATAGAACTTTTGGGTTTAGAAGTATGGAATCCTAGAGCTGAAAATAAGCCTCATTGCTCATAATTCTAACCCCTCATTTTATGTAGGGGAAATTGATACATGAGGTCCAGAGGCGACCTATCCCAGGTAACACAGGGAGTTTGTGGTTGAGCTGGTCTAAGCCAGGATTTCTGAACGGCCAGCCTTGCCGCCTCAGGTCACACTGTGTCATACCATCAAGCTGATATCGCCATTCCTGCTTCCCTGGCAGCCATACCCCCAAGAGTGGTGGTCCCACTGGCGGAGACCCACTGTGAGGAGCACGGTGACGCAGTCTTCGAATGTACCTTCTCCAGCCCCTGCCCTAGTGCAGCCTGGCATTTCCGGCACCGGCTACTCCACCCCAGTGACAAATATGAAGTGTTTGTGTCCCCCGACGGGCTGACCCACCGGCTGGTGGTGAGGGGCGCCCGTTTCTCAGACATGGGCCCCTACTCGCTGGGCACTGGGCTCTACACTTCCAGCGCCTGGCTGGTGGTTGAAGGTGAGTGCTTCACATCTCTGTCTTTCTCTGCCTCCAGGGAAGACCTCGGGGCTGCGGAGGCATGAGGAAGGCGAGGCAGTGGGATTTCCTCTGGTCAGCCATTTGCTCTGGAACGATTCCCTTGCTCAGATAGAATAAGGAAGGCTCCTTAGATTATTCTCCACCCACTGCTGTGCAGACCTTCATGGCCAACCCAACCCTTCTCAGCTGTGTCTGCTCCACTGGGTCTCTTGGAATTACTCTGGGGCACAGATGGCTCTAGGGTCCTAGGCAGCCTTGGGACAGTGGCCCAGGTTCAGTCTGGGTGAGAAGGCCCTGCACCAGACCAGAGCGCACTCTCAAACCTCCCTGGGGATTGAAATTTGGGTTCAAGATGTTCCCAGGAAAGTGTAAATTGGACATAAGTAAGGCAGGTGATAGAGCAAGTTGATATTTTAAAAACCATGCACCTGCTGCGGCAGTTTGATAAACAAATGACTTTTGGCTTATGCATTTTCTCCAAAATCCTCATGAAGCCTGTAGCAGGGTGGCCTGTGGGTATGGGACTGGGGGAGGTGGTGATGGGATTCACCCATCCATCCCTGGAACACCCTGGCTGCCTTGCCAGGTAGTCAGCTTGCTTCTCTCCTGGGGAAGCGTAGGTCAGGCAAGCAGTTGGGCTCAGGCAGGTGCTTTGGCCAGATTTAACAGGAGTTTTGGTACTTTCTCTTGTCTCTCCATGTGGGCACTGATCTTCCATATGAATAAACACTCACCGAAGCTGGGAAGGATAAAGACCTTCAGTCCACAAGTGCTGACCACCAGCTACAGAGGCAAGGAGCCCAGGCCTCAGGAGCAGAAGAGTCTGGGAGCATCAACAGCCAGGGAGAGAAATTCAGAGAGCAGGACCCCAGTGGGGGCTCCCTTGGGGGGGCAGGGATGGCTTCTGGGTTCCAGCACATAGCCAGCCCAGACAGGGATGGCCTTGGCAGACATGGCTACTCCTTGATGGAGGACAAGGGGGCAGCTGACTCAGCCTGGGGCCCTGGACAGGAAGGCGAAGGCTTTCTAGAAGCAGAGGGAAGCGGAGTCACTCTTTCCAGGGAAAGTCAATCTGGCAGAGAGGGAGGCTGGGCTGAAAGCCTTGCAGAGAGGCCCTATCTACAGGGAGAGAGCTCAGAATCAGGGTTGGGCCTCCCAGAAAAACGACAGCAAGATCGTGGCAGAGACAGCAATGGTGATGAATGCTGGAGGACAGCAGGAGGCTGGGAGGCTGGGTCCAGTCCGCTTCAGGCTGGAGGACGGGGGAGCAGCAGGGAAGGAAAGGAGCACAGAGGGGATAGTGGAAGACAACTGGATAGGCACGCCCCGGAGCAACTGTGGGATGCTCAACTGAGACCTGGGAGAGGAAAGAGTGACATGCAGGGCTACGAGTCTGATTCTGTAGGGTCCTGGCCAAGAGGAAAGCAGATAAAGATTTCACAGGGTGACAGCTTGGCTGAGATGGACAGAGGGGATGCTCCAAGTAGGGAAAGAAGGAGAGGAGTAGTAGTGTGGGGTAGTGGGACTGGCCTGGGAGAAGCTGGAGACAGCAATGGGGCGGGAGGTCCTGGCACCCTGGAGTTTACTGGAGGAAGAGGTTCTGGCTCCAAGGCAGGTATGGGCCCTGAATCCTGGGATTCTCAGGGAGGTAGAGATACTGACTATGGGGAAGCCTGGGGCTACTGGGAGTCAGGAGAGTTTCTAGGACAGACACTTGGAGGCAAGGACTTCCAGGAACCATCAATATCAGGTGGTAGAAAATTCCTTCTGGGAGATGGGAGTCCTGAGATCAAAGCTGAAGACTCACGGCAGGAGGCAGATGGTCTGTGCAGGGGGGAATCTGTAGTTGGAGGAAGTGTCTACAAAACTGGCCCTGGAGGCCCAGGAGACCCCAGAGGCTGCGAAGGTGGCCTACAGAAGCTCAGGGGAAGGGATGACCAGGAAACAGCTTGGGCCTCAGGTGAGATAGGGGATGACCCCAGAAGCTTCCAGTCTTCCCAGGAGTGGACAGCAGGTCACAGAGCAGCAGGGGGTGTTGGCAGAATAGAATCTAAGGGCACAAGTCCTTGGGATGACACACCATCTAGCCTCAGAAAAACTGGAGCCCACTATGGGTCTAGAGTGCTGGGACCCAGTGGAGGGCAAGAGGGTATGGGTGGTACCCAGGTGGCTGGACTGACAGAGTCTGGTCAGGGGGTGGATGCCAGAAGCTGTGGGCTAAGTAGGTCTCCAGGCCTGGGTGCTCAGGGATCTGGGGGGATACTGGGAGATACAGAAGGATTAAGAGGTCCTGGGTCAATAGGGTCTGAACCAGATTTCTGGAATGGGTCAGGGAGCTCCAGAGTAAAAGGACCCAGAGGCTATAAGGATGACTTGGAAGGTCCTGGGAGAATGGAATCTAGGTACGAGGGTGGCTTAGGATATTCTAGGGGAATAGGCCCTAAAAGCGGGGCTGGTTACAGCTATGGCTCAGGGGTTCCAGGAGAAATGGGGTCTGGCCATGGTGCTGGTTGTAGAGTTTCCCCTAGGGCACCTGCGGGAATGGAGTCTGAGGAAGGGGGTGCATACAGGAATGGCTCTGGGGTGCCTGGGGGAGTGTGGTCAGGAAACAAAGAATCTGGCCCTGCAGGAGGAGGGTCTGGGAGAATTGCCAGTCTTAAGAATGGCTCAGGTGGTCCTGATGGAGCACCCGTGGATGACATCAGGAATTGGGCCTCTGCACGCCAGGGCGGCATGGGACCTAGGGGAGGGCGCCATTCAGATGGCAGCCTAGGGAGTCCTGAGATGACGGGGTCTGTGGGTAGAGGTGGTCTCAAGGCCCCTGGAGTAGTGGAGACTGTTGGGATGGGATGTGTGGAAGCAGAACCAGAGAGCTCTGGAAGAATAAGGCCTTGGAGTCAGACTGGCTTCAGAGCCTCAGAGGCCCTGGAGGCCTTTGGAGAAGGAGGCTATAAAGATGGCTCTGGGGGTCCAGAAGCCATGGAACCAGGGTCTCTGAGGGCAGGGAGCAAAGTGGGTGAGGGGGATGGGACAAGATGCCCTGGTGCTAGGGCCTCTGGAGCTGGAGCTGATTACAGGAATGATACCAGGCACCCTGAGGCACTTGCACCTCACACTGGGGCTGCTTCTGAGAGCCAGTGGGCTTATGGGGCTGGCAATGTGCTGGGTTATGAGGATGGATCAGAACTTCCAGGGCCTCAGGGAACTGGGGTCAGAACAGCCTATGGAGGAGGGTCAAGGGGCCTTGGGCCTAGGAGTACAGGACCAGGGGGTGAGGCGGGCTTTAGAGAGAGTTCAGGGGACCTCCAAGGAATGGGATCAGCAGATGGGCCGGGTTGTAGGAAGGGTATTGGGAGTTCGGGGGAAATGGGGTCAGTGGATAAGGAAGGTTACAGGGAAGATTTGGGGACTCCTGAGAATATGGGTTCGGGGAGCAAGGCTGCTTATAGGGATGGTGTAGGGGGTTCTGGGGCAATGGGGTCAATGGATGAAGCAGATTATAGGAAAGATTTAGGGGCTCCTGAAGGAATAAGTTCAGGGAGCAAGGCAGATTATAGGGGTGGTTTAAAGGGTTCCAGGGAAGTGGGGCCAATGGATGAAGCAGATTATAGGAAAGATTTGGGGGTTCCTGAGGGAATGGGTGCAGATTATAGGGGTGGCTTAAGGGGTCCTGGGGAGATGGGGTCAGTGGATGAACCAGGTCATAGGAATGGGACTGGAGGTTATGGGGAAATGGGGTCGGGTTATAGGGAGGATGTGGGGGCTCCTGAGGGAATGGGCACAGGGAGCAAGGCAGGTTATAGCGATGGCTTAAGGGGTTCTGGAGAAATGAGGTCAATGGATGAGGCAGGTTATAGGAAAAATTTGGGAGCTCCTGAGGGAATGGATTCAGGGAGCAAGGCACGTTACAGGGGTGGTTTAAGGGGTTCTGGGAAAATGGGGTTAATTGATGAGGCAGGCTCTAGGAAAGATTTGGGGGTTTCTGAGGGAGTGGGTTCAGGGAGTAAGGCAGGTTTTGGTTTTAGGGATGGTTTAGGGGGTTCTGGGGAAATGGGGTCAGTGGATGAGGCAGGCTACAGGAAGGAT